TAGCCCAGAAGTCACGGCCAATGCTGTAATTTGATTATGAAAATTGTTATTGTATTGTATTTTACAATCACTCTTATTATCATAGTCTATAGATGTACACAATTTGTGAATTTTATTTAAAGTTATATTTTATTACAAATTATGTTAATCAGTGTATAAACTTTTAATATACAACATAACTAGTAATTTGTATAAAATGTGATTAAACGGCTGAATCCAAATACTTTTCAACTAATTTAGCAATCAACACGGTATACGATTTATATGTTCCTTCCGGGTAGGATTCTTTCATCTCGCACTTTGTGGCCACCTTTACGCCCAACATGTGCTCCGTTCGGTTCATTACTTCCGGATATATGTCGACACGTCTGTGTGAGAACTCCCTGAACCCATCGATGTCGTCGTGCATATCAATCACTTTAGCCCAGAAGTCACGGCCAATGCTGTAATTTGATTATGAAAATTGTTATTGTATTGTATTTTACAATCACTCTTATTATCATAGTCTATAGATGTACACAATTTGTGAATTTTATTTAAAGTTATACATGTATAAATTTTTATCAATGTATCTATTAAGATAGATAACAAAGCCATACCATATTATTTCGCCCATGTTAATTCTCGACTGTTTCAAAGCATCGTTTAGGTATCCAATGAAACGGTCGCGTAGTGTTTTAGTATCGGACAGTTTAGCGTTTATAATGGGTGTGTATTTCAGCATTTTGTCCTCGGGCAGTTTGCAAAAAATGTTGACTTTCTCATAGAATTGAATGTTAGGACTCGCTAGAATAACTTCCCGGATTTTAGGTTTAAGATAACCTGCCCATTTCAAGCCGGTTACTATATCCCAGAAACTGCAATATATAATTAAATTACTCAATATATTGTAATATTATTTATTCTAGTATTAATATTATTTAATAGGACCTGCCATTAACATTTGTACACCAATTTAATTAAATACAATGACTACTTACAGTTTACCCGTGCCCATAGCATTGCCCAATTCATCGCATCTCTCTTTAATGATTTCTAACTTTTCCGGTGCTTCGACTCCATTGCCATATCTCTCATACTTTGTGGATATGATATCGAGAGCCGCCTCTTCCTCTTCCTGTCCACAATATATCACACCTAAGAGTCATATTATTATATTTAGTACATATTATTATATCAACCAAATAGTCCTCTCTCTCTCTCTCTCTCTCTCTCTTTCTCTCACAACATTACAGATTGTTAGTAAAACTATGACCCAAGTTAGATTATCCCTTATTAACTAACGTTGCAAGTTTTAGCCCAATATTTGTATTGTTACATATTGTCATTTATAAGTTTATCTAAAAATATATTATTTTGTAATGATAAATGTTAGTTAAAAATTCCGCATTATAATTTACTATATACATATTATAAACATAGTACCACCATTTTGGTGGCCTTATTAATAATACATATTAAATAAGAATATCTAATTGTATAAAAATTTCAAAATATACATACCAATTATAGACAATAAAAAGTTTCATCACTAATAAATGAATTATTATAGATAAACTTTATATAGACAACTAATTCACTTAACAAACAAACTCGACACTAACTTTTTTTTATGTAAAGTTAGTTGAATGCCAGATGTATAAATTGTAATATTAAATATTGACGTAAATTAATTAAAAAAAACTTTATCAATTATATATTTTAATTTAAAACTAATTCATTTTCAAATATTTGATCACTCATATAAAACATAAGATGTCATCTTCTTAAAGTAATATATTATATTTCGAACAATTTAATAAATATTTACATTAAAAACATTAAATTATTTACTGTTACTACTTATAATCTACCATTGCTCTCTCTCTCTCTCTCTCTCTCTCTCAATCTCATAAAATTACTATTTATACATAAATCTATGATATAAATTAGGCGTTAAACACCTG